ATACTGCCTGATTGGAGGCTACCGTGTCTATGGGGATGCTCCACTGGCCACCCCTGAAAAGGCTGAGGAAGAGAAGCCGGCACCCAGGAGGGTTCCCAGGAGACAGAGAGTTCAGGAAGAGTCAGACCAAGATCTAGGGTGTCCTAGCGCCAAAATTCCTCGTCTCAGAATGAAGCACGGTGGCAAAGGGCTATCCCCGTAGAAGCATCCTGCTTGAGCACCACTGCCCAGAGGACAGACTGCTAGCTGCCTCAGGTGGCTGAGCCCTCTTCGCCAATGACCTCCACTGACCACGATGTAGACAGAGCCTTAGTTGTTCTGCCTGTGTCTTCTCCGGTCAGGAATCCACTTTGCATGCCAACTAGCCATGAGCAAGGAGCCTCAGAGAGGAGCAGCCCACCCTCTCTCTAGAGTCTCTTCTTGGGCTGTAAAAAGCAACAGTTTGCTGTGAGTTGAGGAAACAAGTGCAGAGAGAAGATACAGATGAGCCATGCTGGGGCTCTCTCTATGAGTAGACTTCTGCTCTGCATCATTCCAGGAGCTAGCAGCACAAGCCAGGGACAGCTGCACTTCCTAAACCTAGAAGAAACAAGCAGTAATTAACCAAAGAGACTCCTGCCTAAGGTCTCAGGAGGCAGATGAAGAGCCCAGGGAGACCTGCTAACTGGAGCAGGAACACTGTGGAAAAAGTCCAGCAACCCCCTCCCCCTCCAGAGGTACCTGCTTTTCTTTATTTCCAGTTCATTTAGGAAACAGTTGGATTCCTTCTGCCCAATAGCATGATTTTCTGTGATAGCATTTGAGTTGAAATCCAAGTTATTCAAGGCCAAGTTTCAAATCTTCTTTTATCTTAAAGCATATTCCTACACAGAGGACCTGGGACTTCTCCCTTCACAAAGGGCACTTGGGAGCACCTTCTTTTTTTTCCCCCAGATAGGGTTTCTCTGTGGCTTTGGAGGCTGTCCTGGAACTCGAACTCACAGAGATCCACCTGCCTCTGCCTCCCGAGTGCTGGGATTAAAGGTGTGTGCCACCAACGCCCGGCAGGAGCACCTTCTGTGTGACTCTTTCAAATAATGGTGAATCAAATGAAGCAAGACCCAGTTCTTTAGGAAATGGAGAGGTTGGCAACCGGGCAATACTGGCACACACCTTTAGTCCCAGCAATCAGGAGGCAGAGGCAGATGGATCTTTGGGAGTTTGAGGCCAACCTGGTGTACATATCGAGTTCCAGAACAGCCAGGACTGTTACACAGAGCAACCCAGTCTGGAAGGAAGAAGGAAGGAAGGAAGGAAGGAAGGAAGGAAGGAAGGAAGGAAGGAAAGTTGGGATGTACTCAGTGGCTATTGTGTACTTTAATATTGCCTAAACAGCTTTACTTGCTAATGCTCATTTCAATGAGTCATTGGTTTAACTCTAGGCCTCTGCTTCTGCAACACTATCAATACTACAGGATCCTCCCCAGGACTCCTCTCAGATATCCTATTGCCCTGTGTCATGGGGATCTTACAGCTTTGGTTCTGCAGGACTGGCCCCTTCACACACTAACAGTTTTTAGATGGGAAAAATGTTGGGGTGGGCCAGCTCAGAGCCCTGGATATGGGCCTGGGTGGTAGCTGAGATAGCCAGTCCACCTGCTCTCTGATGCCCAAACCACCAGGGCTGGTTTTCTTGCTTTGCCCAGGTGAGGGGTGGAACCAGCTCTCTTGTCTGTGGTAGCTGGCTAGGGGCAAGACCAGCTCTCCCAACCTCTCATCACCAGCTCTCCAGCACTGGTAAGGGTGGAGCCAGCTCTCCCACTCATGCACTCTGGCCTGGTCTCCCATGCCCACACTACCAGTGCCAGCTCTACCACATTGCCCAGGCAAGGTGCAAGACCCACTTTCCTGAGTGCCGCAGCCGGCAAGGGGCAAAGTCAGTTTCCCGTACAACTCTGACAAGGTGAAAGGCCAGCTCTCCTGCATCCACACTTCCAGGGCCAGCTCTCCCTTGCTGCCCAGTCATGGGGTGAGGACAGCTCTCTCATCTGCCACAGGTGGAGAGGGGAGTGGCTAGCTCTCCCTTGCCCACACCACTGTATGTTGGCCAGGGATGGGACCAGCTCTTCCAGGTGTCTCTCACACCTGGCCCACACCATGTGGCTGTGGCCAGGGGCATCTCAGGTGTCTTCTTCCTGCCTGGGTGTCCTTTACCTACCCAGGGCCCATGGGTGTCCTCCACCCACCTGGGCCAAGCAGCACCAGATGGGCCCGTGGTTGTCCACTAAAAGTAAGTGCATTGAAATTCACATTATTTGGGCCAAGAAGACAATTCATTTGGTAACTTCCTTGAGGTGCAAGCATGAGCACCTAAATACAATGTCTAGAACCCATAATTAAAACAAAACACCATGAGTGCTGTTTGTGTTGGTCAGCCCATCTCTGCAGAGGTGGAGATAGGTGGATGCCTGAGGTTCCCTTCATAGCCAGTCTAAGCTACTTGGGGGTTTCTGGCCATCAGAGACCAAGTCTCACAAAAATGGTCACTGGTCCCTAAAAAAAATCTGAGGTTGACCTCTGACCTCCATATTAACACACAACCACACATGCACCCCCTAACACATCACATTATTTTATATTTATATAGTTCATTTATACCCAAATCAGAATTTATTATATTTTACATTGCTAGCTGGCTTCCCCCCACCTCCACCCCAAGATCTTACTCTGTAGTTAACTGGCTTGGAATTCACTGTACAGACCAGGTTGGCCTTGAACGTTTGTCAACCATTCTACCTCAGATAAGCTACAACACTGGTATTATTTTTGGTTTTTTGAAACAAGGTTTCTCTGTGTAGGCCTGGAACTTGCTATGTAGACCAGGCTGTCTTTGAACTCATAGAGATCCACCTGCCTCTGCCTCCAAGTGCTGGGATTAAAAGTGTGACCCTTTGTGCCCTGTTTTTTTTTCCCCCCCCCCCCCCCCGGTTTTTCCAGGTAGGGTTTCTCTGTAGCTTTAGAGGCTGTCCTGAAACTTTGTAGACTAGGTTGGTCTCAAACTTACAGAGATCCATCTGCCTCTGCCTCCCAAGTGCTGGAACTAAAGGTGTGTGCCACCACCCAAAAATTTTTCCTTTCTTTACAGAAGCAAATTCAATATCTTTATAAAAACCTACTTTTTGTTTACTTTCTGTTCATTCTTTATTTCTATGTGTATGTGGGAGGGTATATAGGTATTTGTGTTTATGTACATGTGTATATATGTATGTAGATGTGTGAGGTCAATCTCAGTGTTCTTCCTTGGGAGCATCCACCTTGAATTTGTGTTGTTTTTAGGCAGGGTCTCTCATTTGAACTGGAGTTTGGGGATTAGGTTAGGCTGGCTGGCTGACCAGTGAGACCCATGGATCTGTCATTTTCTAACTCCCCACTTACAGTTCTGAGGGGCAAGGCTTCCCTTTTGGACCTGTTACAGCTCTGAAGGGAAAGGTATCCTGGCAGTTCTAGGCCAAGGAATACCATAAAGTTACACCGTACAACAAACCACTCAAGAGATTTATTGGGAGAGACATAAGAGGGTGGCTGCCTCTGCTTGGGTAAGAAACAATAGTAAACAGAGCAGGAGACAGGCTTATATAGGGTTTCTTGAGGGAAGAGTTTTCCAGGGTAGAGATTTCCAGAGTGGGGATTGGTGAGATTTCAAGTCAAGCTCGGGACTGGTCTGATTTTTAGTTCAGGGATTGGTGGTTTTTCGTGGTCAGGGACTCTTGGGTTTTGGTAGGTTTTCAAACCTGGAAGTGGTCTTAGATCTTTAACCCTATACATATCATAATGCAATAACTGTGGAATTTCTTTCCCTTCCTTCCTTCCTTCCTTCCTTCCTTCCTTCCTTCCTTCCTTCCTTCCTGCCTGCCTGCGTTTTTCTTTCTTAATATGTGTAAGTGTTTTTCTGGAACATATATGTGCACCATGTGTGTGCCTGGTGCCCATGGAGGTCAGAAAAAGGTGTTGGATCTCCTGGAATGAGTTATGGATGGTTGTGAGCTTCTGGGAGTCAAAAACAATTCCTCAGGAAGAGTATCTAGTGCTCTTAGCCACTGAGCCATCTCCAGTCCTGGGGCTTTTAAAAATTAGGTTTGAGGGACTGAATTCAGGTCCTCGTGCTTGCATGGCAAGCACTTTACTGACTGAGCTATCTCCCCAGCTCTCATTTGTTTATTTTTTTTTCTTTTGAGACATGTTTCCATGTACCACAGGTTGGCTACATAGTTCAGGCTAACCTTGAACCTTCTGCTCTTCCTGCTTCTACTTTCCAAGTGCTTGGGTCGCAGGTGTATATCACAAAGCCTGGTTTTATGCAGTGCTGGGAATCAAACCCAGGACTTCCTGAATGCTAGGCAAGCACTCTACCAACTGAACTACATTAGCAAACCAGTATTAGCTCTTAATATTATCTATTAATTTTATTGCAGTTGCTATTAATTTCCACTCAGGCCCTGGGAGTAGGATGGAATTGATGCCTAAGTAGTTTATATGTGGCAGAGAGGAACTTCCTGGAGGATCACCACATCAAAGTCAGCTCAGCAATCAGAGCCTTGTGACCCATTTTGTGTCCTGGTGTTCTAGGCTTTGTCCCAAGAAGAATAAAGGTTACTCATGATCTAGTCAGGTTCCCTTCTCAGGAATCTAAAGAATTCTCTGAGAGATTTACAGTGAGAGTCAGTGGGTCAGTTTGTGATTGAAGTGAAATATTCAGAAGGTCCCCAAAACTCCAGACCTCTTCCCTGAAGCCAGACCCACGCCATTGGCTTCATCTGGTGCTGAGTCCAACCACCTAGGTTCTACAGATCACTGACAACTTCTTTGAGCAAGTGGTGGCTGACATGCCAAGTTCCACAGACCACGAGTGCACCTGTGTTACCCTACTCCATCATAGAGAAGGACACTCACATCTGTTTCTACATTAAAAACATTTATTTCAGGAAATGTTAGCCCCTGCACAAGTGGAGCTGGGTTCAAGGGTGCCAGAATGATATCTGGGAAGACTGCATGGATCATCAAAATCATACAATAAGGTCTAAAATGGTTGCAACAACCATGAGGCTTAGGACTATGTGGGGAGAAGATTTTGAGTGTGACCACTTGGATGCTAACTTGAGTGCATGATGTATTGGGATTGATGATTGGTTCTTTTCTGGAGATTGTTTCAGATGTCGACCTGGCAAGACTGAATGACAAGCACTGTCCAGCTGCTCCTCTGGAATCATGACCTCCAGGGGACTTTGCCATCTGTTTTTCTCCCGTACCTGGAGGTGACAGTTGTGTCAGCAGCTCTTCCAGATCTCCTGTTATGGAAGCACCTGTTCAGACACCACGCACTGTCTTCTGCCGTTTCAACATACCTGTTCCACCTCTCCAAAGACTCGAAGCAGGTTTCCTCGAAGGACACCTTGCAGCTCCTGCTCATTCCAGCCCCGTCTAAGCAACTCCTCTATGAGCACTGGGTATGTAGACACGTCCTCCAGCCCTTTAGGGAACCTGTGTAGTCACCAACAGGTGAGCCTCAGACCTGCTATCCTAATCCCACTCAAAACCTCACCTCTATCTGAAGTCAATCCTCAGCAATGGTCATACTGGGGATGGAGACTAGGAAGGAGTAAGCAGATTGTTTGCTCTGGTCTTAATCCTTCAGTGGAGGTCTCAAACCCTCTTTTAAAATATGCAGTGCTAGAAATCAAACCTTGGGCCTTGTAGATACAATTTCTAGACCCTTCCTTGAATATTTGCTAAAACTCACTGAATGGTACTTTAAGATTTATGCCTTCCAGAAGGCCGGTGGTGGGGCATGCCTTTAATTCCAGGACTCAAAAGGCTGAGGCAGGCTTCAGGCCAGTCTCAAATAAAATAAAATCAAACAAAAAAAAAGACATGTCTTCTGTCTTCTAATGAATGCAAATATCCCCTCTATTAGAAAAAAAAAAAAAGGAGGGCCTGAAGCTGTTGTTCAGGGGTAGAGTCCTTGGCTTGATTAACTTCAGCAAGGTTCTGAAGTTGATCCCTAGTACTGGAAAAGAAAAAAATGCTGAAGAAACAAGAGCGGGGGCCAGTGAATTGGTTCTGTGACTAAAGACCCGATAACCTGAGTTCAATCTCTGGAATCCATATGGTAGAGGGAAAGAAGTGACTCCTGCCACATGTGTGCCATGGTATGCCCACCCAACCCCGCTTCCCAAATAATACATGTTTTGCTTTGTTTTTTAAAGAAAAGGAATAAAGTAGTTTGAGGCCATCCTGGGATTCATAGTGAGATCCTGTGTCCAAAATAGAAACAAACAAGAGAAAGAGAGGGTGGGAAAAAAGGCAAGAAGTTTCCTCACGGGCAGAGAAGTCGGGCAATGTGGCACATACCTTTGACCTCAGCAGGCAGGCAGATCTCTGAGTTCAATGCCAGCCTGTTCTACAGAGCAAGCTCCAGGATAGCCAGGGCTACACAGAGAAACCCTGTCTCAAAACAACAACAAAAACTGGCAGAAAAGATAGTCAGCCCACAGCAGACCTTGCTGACAGCTCAGAGGGAATGGGTCTGCAATGGCTGCATATGCTGCAAAGGAGCTTTCTCAGAGGCCCAGAGAGCACAGGAAAGGGACCCTGGAGGTGGAGAAGATGTCAAATGGACAAAGCCTAAAGACCCTAAGGACCTTCATGTGGTGACAGCAGCTTCAGACAAGCCACAGAGAAGTACTCACTGTGCAGTTCCATCATAATCTCCACCAATCCCGATGAACTCGGATCCAATGACTGCCTTGATGTGGTCAAAGTGATCTGGGGACATAGACAGTTAGCAGAATGGGGCTTCCAGGGAAAAGAGTAGCCCTGGAACTAGGCTTGGCCGATCCCATTCCTCCTTTGATTACAGTCTATGGTTTTTTATTCCTTTTCATACATCAGGGAACAGGCTCCAGCAGCTTGGGCTCCTTCACAGTCAGTTCACACAAAGTGAGCATCTCTGGGTGGAGGAGACTGGTGCTTCAGTTGACCTTTCTCTGGATTCCTTTTCTTTCATTTTTCTTTTGTTTTTCTTGTTCTCCTTCACCCAATTCAGGAAGCCATTTTGGCTCTTAGAGAGCTTAATATGCTCAATTTGAACATTTCCTTGGCAAGAATCTTGCCCTTCACTTGCTTCTTTACAACAAAGTCAACAGCATGCTGAGTGATACTGTTTTCCAAGGTAACATTTAGGAGGCATTCCTTTTTGAACATTGCCCATCTCCTTGATGTCTACAATATCACCCTTCTTATAGATTTGTATATACATGATCAATGCAACAACTCTATATTTCTTTTTCTTTCTTTCTTTCTTTCTTTCTTTCTTTCTTTCTTTCTTTTTTGTTTCTCCATGTAGCTTTGAAGCCTATCCTGGCACTCGTTCTGTAGACCAGGCTGGCCTTGAACTCACAGAGATCTGCCTGCCTCTGCCTCCCAAGTGCTGGGATTAAAGGCGTGCGCCACCACTGCCCAGATGTTTCCAAATCTTTATTGCTAAGCATGGACCCTTTTAGGGATTTCCTCAGAAAGTACACCTTTTTCCTTTCTTCTCCCCCTTGCAGTCTCCCTCTTATCTCCCTGTCTCTTGCCTTTCCTCCTCACTGAAGATGCTGATATTTACAACTTGATTTTCCTGTTATATTGTTCTTTCAAACTCCAATAAAAATTCTTTGGGGGTTTAAAAAAGAAAGGAAGAAAAGGGGGAAAAAGATATATTGAGAGGCAGGCTTTAGGAGACTCACCTGCCACAGTGGATACGTTGGCTAACGGGTTGCACTGCAGCACCCCTACAGCGAATGTCACCATCACGATGCCACCGTTCTTCTTCTGCAAGGATGGTCAAAAGGATACTCAGCTTGGCTCCCCAGCACGGTTATGTGCCTACCTACACAGCTTTGGGGGCCAGAGGGGACTTCATCTCCCTGGCTTGTGTCAATGAGGAAGGCTTGACTCTGATTTGAGGGATATGGGAATATTTACCTGCAACAACCTCCCCACCCCAGGCCCAAGAGTTTAGGACCATTGGACTATGGGTTTGTGAGGCAGAGAATGCTCAGTCTGGGGGTTGAGGAAATGGAGGGGATAAAAGTTCAAGTTCAGGGCTGGAGAGATGGCTCAGAGGTGAAGAGCACTGACTGCTCTTCCAGAAGTCCTGAGTTAAATTCCCAGCAACCACATGATGGCTCACAACCATCCGTTATGAGATCTGGTGTGCAGATATACATGGAAGCAGAATGTTGTATACATAATAAATAAAATCTTTTTTAAAAAAGTTCAAGTTCAAGGCCTCCTGGTTTGAATTTCTAGATTTAGGTTCCAGGGCTACAAAGTTTCTCACCAGAAGCTGCAGGATGTCATCAGGAAGATTCCGAGCATTTTGACACACACCCCTGGCAGCTGAGTGGGAGAAGATCACAGGTGCCTGGGACACTTCTAAGGCCCGCTGTGCAGTAGCATCCGAGACATGGGACAAGTCAACCATCATACCCAAGCGATTCATTTCTGCCACCACCTTCTGTGAGGGCAGGTTAGGAGGAGGATTTCAGGGGTATGCATATGCATGCATTAATCATTCAGAAAAGGGGCATGTGATTTGTGTGGAGTTTTACTCATAGTCCTTACTTCCCCAAAGCTGGTCAGTCCTTTGACACTGCTGTAGAATGAGTGGACGCCCTTTGATGAGCTCTCTGCCCTGCAGGACAGGCAAGGGGTAGTCTAATTGGTGGTCATACCCTTCCAAACTCTTCCTCTCTGCAACCCTACAGAGCTAATTAAAAAACCCAGGTTGGACTGTGCCTGGCAACTGGAGGAATCCTAGCCTTGCTTCATAAAAACCCAAATTTACCAGTCCCTGTATGAGTCCCAGATGATAAGGGTAAATCTTGGGTGACTTGGGTAAATCCACAAGGGCAGATTTCTGCCTCAGTTGGCTCACACCATCTGCAACATGCTCACCAGGGTGTGTTGCAGGTGTGTGTGAGCGTCAGATAGCGCACCCCCAGCTGGTAGAAACTTCGAAGCACAGAGAGGCTGTTATCTAGGGAGTGGCCACCCTCCACACCAATGAGGCAGGCCAGTTTCCGGGTGCTGTTCAGAGCTGTAGGCATAAGTCGGGTGATCTCAGGAACTAGAGCAGTAGCTTCATCCGGTCCCCAATACCTTGAAGAAGTCCACTTACCTTTAACTGAGGTTACAAGTTCCAGCTCAGGATAAGAGGCACACATACTGTGAATGAGGTCAATCTGTTCCAGGGTGAGGCGCAAGGCATCCCGGTCCTGGGTCTGACATGGTACGTAAGCGGACCAGAACTGGAATCAAAGCCAGGGATTGGCTAGTTTGGGGAACTACCTGGGCCTTTACAGCTGACAGACTCGTGGGTCTAGAGACCACATATAATGAATGTACTGCTTGGTCTGTGTTACTTTCCTACCCACCTGCTGGCTCACTATGGAACCCTCTAGCCACAGCATCACACCATGACTTCTTTTTTTAAGTCACTATGATAACTGAATTCCCATTTGACTAACTTGTCATTTCTGGGGCCCCAATTTCTCCAACCTTCCCCAGCGTCTGTCCTTCTGTCCGTGTGTGTGTGTGTGTGTGTGTGTGTGTGTGTGTGTGTGTGTTACCTGGGCTCCCACAAAGCCATCTTTAAGCCTATTCAGGTTGGTATGGCCATAGGTGAAGTTTCTCAGGTTGGCGTCCTGTAGCCCATTCAGGTAAAATTGCCTCAGAACAAGAGGCAAGTCATTGTGGCTGCAGGAGAGTCAAGAAAGAGGTTACATCAAACAAAATTGGTGGAGTGGTTCTGCTTGTAATCCCAGCACTCAGAAGGCTAAGGGAAGAGCATCATTTAAAGTTCCAGGTCAGTCTAAAATACTTAGTGAGTTCTGTAGCAGCCTGAGCTAGAGAGAGGGACACACACACATTCTCTTCTCTTCTCTCTCTCTTCTCTCTCTCTTCTCTCTCTCCCTCTCTCTCTCTCCCTCCCTCCCCTCCTTCCCTCAGAGGGCATTTGGCTCTACCTCTTTGGTTTCCAGGTCTAGCAGAAATAATTATGACAGCTACTCCTAACCCACATTGTTACCCAGACAATACTGAGATGCCCTAAGCCGGGCATTGGTGGCTCATGCCTTTAATCCCAGCACTCGGGAGGCAGAGGCAGGCGGATCTCTGTGAGTTCGAGACCAGCCTGGTCTACAAGAGCTAGTTCCAGGATAGGTTCCAAAGCCACAGAGAAACCCTGTCTCGAAAAACCAAAAAAAAAAAAATACTGAGATGCCCTAAATAAATTCTTGAGACCCTTTAACAGACTCTCATAGGATCATATAACACCTGGGCTAGGCTGGGGGTCCCCACCAGAGGAGTGATGATAGAGGAGAAGGGCCACCCACTGATGATAGGAGACAGCATCTAGAGGAGGGTAGTAGGAGAGGGAAGACTTTATTAGTCCCGCAGGCTCAGAACCCTCTGCGAGTATGCCCAGCCCAGCTTCATTCTGACCAGTCCCCAAGCCATCTTATATTCACCCATCTACAAGCAGGAATTCTTGCATCAGGGCTCTCACACGATCTCCCAGGTCTAGGAAATTAGGATTGCCGGCAGTGGTTGGGATGCTGGAGGTGCCCTTGGGCCTGGTGAGGCCTCTGGGAGTGTTTGGTGCAGTGGAAGCACCAAAGTCGACTGGTTTGGTCTGGGTCCTTGTTAGAGACTGTGAAGGCCCTAACAGCAGCAGCACCAACAGGAACACTGAAAGCACTGGGTTAAGCATCCGGAGGCCCTTGAGCCGCATCTTCTCAGGGCGGGGCAAGCGAGCACTGATGTAGGGCACAAAAACCTGAGAGGAACAGGAGGTAGATATAATCCGGGCCCTCAAGTCAAGCCATGAAGAGACCGGGTCTGGTGAGAAGAGATTTGAGGTCAACAGATTAGACAGCCTCTCGGTATGTGGCAAAGGTGCAGCACAGCCGCCAGGGAGATCAACAGCCCTACTAGCCCAGTCTCTAAGGGCACTTCCGCAGGCTGGACTAGTACAGGACTGCAGTACTCACTCAGCAGCTCCTGTCTGGGAGTCCTTTGCCCCATGCCCAGTTTACTGTTCCCAGGGAGCCAATTCAGGTGGCTTCCTGGCTGCTTCTAGACATTGATCTAGAAGAAAGTAGACCTGTGGTGCTTCTTTCATACAGTGAAAGTGAGCCCTTTGCAGCCCACGTCATGTCCCTGACTATCTGCAGCCTTCTCAGACCTTTTCAAGGGCCACAAGTGCCCTGAGACACTGCCCTCTCGGCCATTCTTTGAAGACTCCAGCCATCATCTAGAACTACTCAGAACACACACCTCCACACCCTAACCCCATCCTGTCACCATTCAAGGTGATGACTGCTCTCTTCCTCCGATGATGCAGTACCTGCGCTGCACTCTCAGGATGACCAGCTGGGTGGAGAGCTGAGCAAGCAACTAAGTGGTTCCGGGAATACTTACTCAGTAGCGCAGGAGCAAAGTCAATCAGCTAGGGAAATAGAAGGAAATGAAAGACTTTTCAGGCCAACAGAGCCCCATCCCAGCACCTTCTTGCCAGGGCTGCAGACTGACCTCCTTCCTCAGTGTGGAAGCCAAGGCAGAAGCCTGAGTCCTCAGGCCTGGCACTTGTGTCTAGTGGCGTCACACGACTTATCTGTGGCTCTTGTGGCCTGAGCTCTGCCAGAAACCTCAAGGGCTCAGTTCCCTTCCTTTCAGGCTCCACCCTGTTCCCAGTCCTCACCCTCTGTTTCCTCCAGGAAACCCAGCTGCCCTCTTCTTTCCTCCCCCCCCCCCACTGCCACTCTTTCATGCAGCCAGGAGGCAAAAGGGAAGAGAAACCTTTAGATTTATTGGTCTCCATGTCGCAGTTGTGGTTTTGAGGGTAAACTTAATGTTTGCTCCATTCCTAATAAGCCCCAGGATGTTGAGAGTATAAGGAATACAAACAAAGGGGGTTTGAAGAGACAGCGTATAATGGTGGTTAAGAGCACAGTCTGTGCCACACGCCTTTAATCCCAGCACTCGGGAGGCAGAGGCAGGCAGATCTCTTTGAGTTTGAGGCAAGCCTGGTCTCCAGAGCGAGCGCAAGGATAGGCTCCAAAGCTACACAGAGAAATCCTGTCTCGAAAAACCAAAAACAAAAAAAAAAAAAAAAAAAACAAAAAACAAACAAACAAAAAAGAGCACTGGCTGCTCTTTCAGAGCACCTGGGATTGATTCCCAGACAAAAATAGCCATACCCCCCAAAATAAAATCTCAAAAAAAGAAAAAGGACTCCAAGGTAGCCTCCTCAATCAGTCTCCATCTTATTTTTTGAGACACACTGGATCTGAAGCTGGCCATTCCAGTTACCTTGACTGACCAGCCAGCCCCAGGCTCCATCTCACCCTCCACAATCCTGGTATTACAGCAATGTGTCTGGTTTTTGATCTGTGAAGTGGGGATCCGAAAGCAGGTTCATATGCTTGCACTTTACCAACTTAGCTATTTCTCCGGGTTCTGCTACAGAGTGTTTTGCTGATCCTATTTTGTTTCAAAAAGGTTTATGAATTTTTATTATTTTTCATGTATGAATATTTTCTCGCATGTCTCTCTGTCTATTACATGCATGTCTGGTGCCATCAGAGGTCAGAAGAGTGCATTGGATCCCCTGGAACTGTAGCTACAGATGCTTGTGAGCCATCATGTGGGTGCTGATATCCGACCCTGGTCCTCTAGAAGAGCAACAAGTGCTATTATCCTCTGAGCCATCTCTCCAGCCATGGCCCTATTTTAAAGCAAACCAGAGGGTTGGGATCTAGCTCAGTCGTAGAAGGCTTGCCTAGAATGTTCAAAGCCCTAAGTCTGAGCAACAGCACTGGGGATAAGAATAAAAAAATATCCGGGCATTGGTAGTGCATGCCTTTAATCCCAGCACTTGGGAGGCAGAGGCAGGCGGATCTCTGCGAGTTCGAGGCCAGCCTGGTCTACAGAGCAAGTGCCAGGATAGGCTCCAAAGCTACACAGAGAAACCCTGTCTTGAAAAACAAACAAACAAACAAAAAAGAATAAAAAATAAAAAGGTAAAGTAAATCACAAACATGTATTTCATTCATATGTAAGCATTTATCTCAGAAAGTCAGGACCTTTAAAAAAAACAAATCACTATAAAGACATCTTTAAAAATCTTATAATACATTTTCTGAGATTAATTTTTGTATGTATGTGTGTGTGCATGTGTGGCTGTACATGTGCTGTTGCACAAATGTAAAGGTCAGAGGACACCTTATGGATATCAGTTTTTTTCTCCAGCAAGTGTGATCTGGGGATCAAACTCAGGCTTGAGTTTGGCAGGCACCTTTACCTGCTGAAAAGTCTGCTATCCCTAATTTTTTCTTTTCTTTCTTTTTGAGACAGGATGTCGCTTACTATATAGCACAGGTGATTCTCAAACTCACTGCAGTTATCTTGCCTCATTCTCCCAAGTGCTGAGACTACAGGTGTGTATCACTATACCAGACTTCACGAAATGTCTTCATTGTCCCAAACTATCATGTTCAAATCCTCATGATTGCCTACTTTCTATAATTATTTGAATTTTAGTGTAAAAGTGATATAATATATTGAATGTGGTTGTCATGGTTTAGTTTGTAGTTCTTATATTTTTGGTTGTGAGCCTAGCCTTTAAGGGCTAAGCTATCCCTCCAGCCATTATTCTGTAATTCTAGAGAGAATTAATACTTTGGAGGCTTCCCCCCCCCCCAGACAGGGTTTCTCTGTATAGCTTTGGAGCCTATCCTGGCACTTGCTCTGTAGACAATGCTGGCTTCACAGAGATCTGCCTACTTCTGCCTCTGCCTCCCAAGTGCTGGGATTAAAGGTATATGCAACCAATGCCTGGCAAAGCTTGTATTTGGGCTAGGCTTCTATCTAGTCTTTTGTTTGTTTCTCGGGACAGGGGTTTCTCTGTATTGCTTTGGAGCCTCTTTTAGAACTCGCTCTGTAGACCGGGCTGGCTTCCAACTCACAGAGTCTGCCTGTCTCTGCCTCCTGAGTGCTGGGATTAAAGGCATGCGCCACCAATGCCGGGCAATTCTGCCTTTTATAGTCTCCATTGTATTTCCAGACCTTCACCATTAAAACTTTTGCTGATTTGATATTGGTGTTTACATCTCTCATTCTCAAGAGTATGAGTCAGGAGGAAGGATCCTTGAAAGCACAGAACTTTAGAAACCAGGTTCTCTGTGAAGAATTCACTTTAGGGAATCATGAAGGCTTGAGGCTTGGTTTTAGACTTCAAGTCAAACATTGTCACAGAAAATCACTCTATTGGCCAGGTGGGACCTCCCTATTTCCATAATGGACTAGAATTAAAGGAACATGCGAGCCTCAGGCATAGGAGTGGGGAGGCAGTTGCTGAACTTTGTCTACAGTGGTCCTGCTCCAGCTAGCAGGTCTCCCTGGGCTCTTCATCTGCCTTCTGAGACCTTAGGCAGGAGCCTTCTGCTTGTTTCTTCTAGGTTTAGGAAGTGCAGCTGCTCCTGGCTTGTGCTGCTGGCTCCTGGAATGATGCAGAGCAGAAGTCTACTCATAGGGAGAGCCCTAGCTTGGCTCCTCCATATCCTCTCTCTGCACTTGTCTGCAGCTGCTTTTCTCTGAGGCTCCTGATGGTATCAGACCCTAACTCAGCCCCTGCTTTAGCAACCCTGACAGGTTACAGAAAAGACACGTAGGTGTCTGACACAAGGAAACTCCAGATCCTCTGGCCTCCTGGAGCCTAGGGCTAAACTGATTACAAAGAAACTCCAGACCCACGCTAGTATCCTAGGTACTTGGGAACTGTTTGGCTACAAAAGAAACTCCAGGGGAGACCAAAACTTCCTCTGTAGTCTCCAGGATACAATTCTGAAAAATATTGTTATCTATGAATAACAGACCACCTACAAGTAACAAGACAAAGCTATAGAAACCACAGAATGTTCCCTCTCAGCACTGGCCAATGAGAATAATTGGTTCACAGGTATTTCATGCCAAAACATAACTGAGAAATTCTAATTGTCTCCAAATGTCAACCAATCAGAAACCAACCCGTACCTACTGATGTAATCCTGTAATTTTTGTCTTTAAAACCTAGCAGTAGACAAGGAACTTCGCTCCCTCTGAAGGCTGCTGCATCGGCTAGCCAGACGGGGGTCCCTGTCATGGTTGGAAGAACAATAAAACCTTCCTTTTACAGTTCAGTGGGTCTGTCTCCCTGGTGGTCTCTGGGGATCTTCGCAACTTGGGCACATGAGTAGCTCCTTGCTCATGGCTAGTTGGCATGCAAAGTGGATTCCTGAACGGAGAAGACACAGGCAGAACAGCTAAGGCTCTGTCTACATCGTGGTCAGTGGAGGTCATTGGCGAAGAGGGCTCAGCCACCTGAGGCAGCTAGCAGTCTGTCCTCTGGGCAGTGGTGCTCAAGCAAGATGCTTCTATGGGGATAGCCCTTTGCCACCGTGCTTCATTCTGAGACGAGGAATTTTGGCGCTAGGACACCCTAGATCTTGGTCTGACTCTTCCTGAACTCTCTGTCTCTTGGGAGCCCTCCTGGGTGCCGGCTTCTCTTCCTCAGCCTTTTCAGGGGTGGCCAGTGGAGCATCCCCATAGACACGGTAGCCTCCAATCAGGCAGTATGTCTCTCCATGCCAGGCCATCTGGGCTTGCGCATGCTCTTTGTAGAGGACATGGTAGTATCCAGGGGAAGGAGGAGCCATGGGAGGCACGGGTGCTGCAGAGAAAACCACAACTCGTCAGTCACTTCTGCTCTGCACTGTGTGCTGCAGAGCCCTTCCTCTCACATCTCTCTCTGTTTCTGGCTGAAGCCCTCCTATCTGCTTGGCATCCCAGACACAGCCTTGCCTGTCACTGCTATGGGTCCCCTTGAAGGGTGCTTCTGTAAAAGCACATGGCTTCTGGGGAGCCAGAGGCAGCTTGGCTTTTGGAGGCCAGCATGTGTGGCCCATCTGTATAAGGAATGGTAGAACCTCAAGCTAGCTGCAGTTGAGACCCCCTCTGTTTCTCTTCCCACAAATGAGAAGGATTTCTAAAGGTCTGCGGTTTCTGAGCTTTAATGAGTATGTTTGGGAAAACAGTGTAAGATAAATTTGCAAGAGCTCTCTGCACCCTGGTTGGCAGTTCCTCTTGGGATCCGTTCATTCAAACCACACTCAACTGTAGCCCTATGTTAGCTAGATTTCTGTATTTTTTGAGACATTGTCTTAACATAGTGAAATCTATAGCTGTAATTGGCCTTAAGCTAACTGTCTCTCTTTCTGTGTATGTGTATGTGTGTGTGCATGTACTATATAATATACCTAACTATATGTTTATGTGCAGGCTCAGAGGCCAGAGGAATTTGTCCAGTGATCTTTCCTGTCACTCTTCTACTCATTTCTTTGAGGCAGTCTTTCCTTGATCCTGGGGCTTGCTTTCTGCACCCCTCCTACCCTGGGTTGGAAATCAGCAAGGCCCACAAATTTTTATTTCTTACACCCCACATACCTGCATTACAGGTATGCATGAGCCCATACACAGCTTTTTGACTGTGATCCAAACTCATGTCCTCACAACAAGCGTTCTCAATCATCAAGCCATCTCTCTAAGCTCTCACCCGCTTCCTGAGACAGTCTATGTTGTCCTGACTAGACAGCAATTCTTGGGCTCAAGCTATCTTCCTGTCTTTGGCTCCCAAGCTGGGTATGCAGGCTTGATTCACTGTCAAGTTCTAATGCTTCCTAATGGTCAAATACTATGAGGTCCAGAGTCCAATTCCAGGCAACAAGTTTACTCTCAAAGACATTTTTCATATCGACTCAACTTCTGGGACACCCTTACCTCAGACATACAGCCTCAGAAGCACTCATCACCCATCTCAGAAGCCCTTCTGACACTTCTGTTTTTCCGTTTGTATGATCACATCTTCTCCCCTAGTATTGGCATATGTTTGAAGGTGGCCAACACGAGTATTTCCCATGACAACATGGTAAAGGGACCTGGATCTTAATGTGGGGGTTTATTAGAAGCCTTTATCAGCTCTTCCCCAGGGTGTTGTATTTATCATTTGACAAGGAAGCATACTTGCTTTCTGTTTGTTTTGAGTCATGGTCTCACTGTGTAGTGCTGACTCTTCAGGAACTCACTATATAGACCAAGCTAGCCTCAAATTCACAGATCTGCTTACATTTGCCTCCCAAGTGCTGCAATTACAGGCATGCACCACCACCACCTGGCTGGATTTTAAATTTTTGAAAAGATGTACTTATCTTATTTGTATGAGTGTTTTGCTTACATATGTGTTGTGGGATATTTGATTGCACTGTGAAGCTCCAAGACTGTGTTAATAAAATTAACCTTGGGTCGGGGTGGAGCCAGCAACTAGTTGACAAGAATTAGCCATAGAGAATACAGAGGACCCAGGAATATGGATAGAAAGGAAGGAGTAGGGAGGGACTTAGAGATTCTCAGTCTTTTTAGTTTGGGACAGTGTGGACAGCCAAAAAGGAAGCTCAGTTGGTTGCTTCTCAGCCTCTTTGATCTAGCAAGTTTTCACCCCAACATCTGACTTCTGTGTTTTTATTGGTAAATAGAACAACTTAGATCAAAATAAGATATGTGTGTCTGTGCACTGTGTGCCTGGTGCCCAAGAGAGTCAGAAGAAGGTGTTAGATTTCCTGAACTGGAGTTATGGATGGTTGTAACCTGCCATTTGGGTTCTGGGAATTGAACCTAAGTGCATTGCAAGAGCAGCATGTGTTCTTTTTTCATTTTATTTTTCTATTTTGTTTTTTGAGACAGGTTTTTTTCTATGTAGCTTTGGAGCCTATTCTGGCACTCACTCTGCAGACCAGGCTGGCCTCGAACTCACAGAGATCAGCATGCCTCTGCCTCCCAAGTGCTGGTATTAAAGAAGTACCCTACCACCACCTGGCAATTTTTTGGAGGGGGGGCAACATGTGTTCATAAGCACAGAGCCATCTCTCAACTACCAAGACATTTGGTTTTATTCTGAGTCTAATCAGGAAAGTCTTGGGACCAGAGAGATGGCTCAGAGGTTCAGGGTTTGTACTGATTTTGCAGAAGACCTGAGTTAGACTCTCAACCACCTGCAACTCAGCTACCAGGGGATCTAGCTTTGTAGGCTCCTGTTGTAGAATATTAAAGATGTGTTACATTTGTTTATGCTGTGGAACATTTGTTTAATGATACAAAGATGTGTTACATTCTTTTACATTGCATTTGTTTAACTCTGTGATGCTGTGTTACTTTGCATGTCTAAAACACCTGACTGGTCTAATAATGAGCCAAATGGCAGGAGAATGGGTAAGTGGGGCTGGAAGGCAGAGATAATAAATAGGAGGAGAAAATTGGGGGAAATAGATTGTGGGGTGAGAAAAGGGGGAGAGGAGGACATCAGGGGCCTGCCACCCAGCTACATAGCAAGCCATGAAGTAACAAGTAAAGAAAGGCATACAGGAACGGAGAAAGATAAAAGCCTCAAGGCAAAAGCTTAAAGGGATAATTTAAGAAGCTGGCTAGGCTGGGATGTGGTGGTGCAAGCTTTTAAACCCAGTACTCAAAAGGCACAGGCAGTAGGATCTCTGTGAGTTCAAGGCCAGACTGGTTTACACAGTGAGTTTCAGGGCAGGCTTCAAAGCTACAGAGAAACCCTATCTCGAATGAATAAATAAATAAATAATCTGGCTAGAAACAAGCCAAGCTAAGGCCAGGCATTCATAAGAAAGAAAACTCTGTGTGTGTTTATTTGGGAGCTAGGTGGCGGGTCCCCAAGAGCAAAGAGTAAAGAGTGGAAAAACATCAACTACAGGCTCTTGTATGCCCACAGAAGCTATGGTGCACATAAACTCATGCAAGCAATAAATATTTTTTATCTTTATCTATCCATTCATCAATCATCTATCTATCCATCCATCCATTCTTTTATCTATCTACCTATGTGTATGGATATTTTGCCTGCATATATGTCTGTGAGTGCCTGATGCCTGAGAAGGCTAGAAAAAGGGCATCAGGTCCCTGGAACTATATTTACAGACAGTGGTGAGACACAATGCGGGTTTTGGAATTTGAACCCATGTTCTCTGGGAGAGCAGCCAATGCTTTTAGCTGTTGGACCATCTTTGCAGCTTTTAGTTTTATTAATTAGTTCTTTTAGTTTTCTTAATTATGTGTAATTGTGTGTCTCTGTGATGTGTGTACAATGAATACAGTGACTGCAGAGGCTAGAGGCATCACATTCCCTGAAATTGTGAACTGTCCACCTTGATGCTGGGAACTGAATTTGGGTCCTCTGTAAGAGTGGTACATGTGACATGCAGGACATGCCCATCAGAAGAACAGATAGGCTGCTGCATGCCTGCTTGCTATCTCTTCCTGCCATACTGCCCACTGCTGCTGCCCCCACTTCCGGCAGCTATCTGCTGCTCAGGTGCAGGCCGTGCTAGTCAGAAGAACAGATAAGAGACCCACTTGCCCTGAATGCCCCCACATGCCCTTGGCCCAGATCCCAAAGACCCAAAACACTGTTATTCCTTCCCACCCCACCACCTTCCCCCCAAAGTTGTGCCCCCACCCTCACCTTGCGCAGATATCCAATGCTCAGTTTCAGGCCACTCCAGTCAGAAGAACAGATAGGCAAACTCAGGCAGAGATGTGGTGATATTTTGTTTATAATCTAACAAATAAACCTTATCTGAAGATCAGAAAGTAGAGCTAAGCTACTAGTTAGCCACACACACACTCAGATACTAGTTAGCCACACACCTAAGCTACTAGTAGCTATAGAGGACAGTCAGTGGTGGCCATACCCTTAATCCCAGCACTCGGGAGACAGAGGCAGATGGATCTCTGAATTCAAGGCCACCCTGGGCTACATGAAAGTGAATTAGTCTAAAAGAGAAACAGGGCTCACACCTTTGATCCCAGCCCTTGGGATGACAGGCCTTTAATCCCAGAACTAGAGAGGAAAACAAGGCAGGAGCTCAGTGCAGTCTGAGGGTTGGAGGAGAGCATTGCAGTCTGAGAAGCAATGCGGTTGGAAGCAGTTTGAGATTCAGTGGGTTACCCCTTTGGTCTGAGCATTAGTGGAGGTGAGAACTCTCTAGTGGCTGGCCTCTTTGCTTGCTTCTCTGATCTTCAGCTTTAACCCCAGTATCTACCTTTGGGGTTTTATTATTCATGCTACACAGAGACCCCCTTCTGGACTAGAGACCACACCAGTCTCCAGAACTCCAGATAGGTGGCCCACCCTTAGGTCTTCTCCACTCTCTCAGTGCCCCCACACTGTCCCCAAGGAACAAATACCCACCCAACAAAGACAAACTCAGAAATTAGCACCTAAATCTATAATAACCCCAAATCCAGATGCCTAGACACCAATATAAGAACACAATTAACAACAGCTAGGGCAATATATCACCACCAGAGCCCAGCTATCCTGCCACAGCAAGTCCTGTGTATTCTAACACAGCTGAAGCAAAAGACCTTAAAAACCAACTTTATACAGATGATAGTGGTCCTTAAAAAAGAAATGAATAAATGAATAAATCCCTAAAGGTGGTGGCACACACATTTATTCCCAACACTCAGGAGGCAGAGGCAGGTTGATCTCTATGAATTCGAGGCCAGCTTGATGTACAAA